TCCCCAGCCATGAAGGTGGCCACATTAAGGGCTGATGGTTTGCAGTGCATGCTTGGGGTCTGCCTCTCTGCGTTTACTATTTGTGTATGAAGTCTGTGGCATCTGTAGAATCCACACAGAAACACAGAATGTTGGAAGGTTGGAGTGGACCTTGAAGACCATCTTGTCCAGCACTTACCACTACCCCAGGCTGCTCCAAGCTCCATCCAGCCTGGCCTTGGACACTTCCAGGGGATCAAGGGGCATCACAGTCTCCCGGGGCAACCTGTGCCAGGGCCTCACCACCCACCCACACAGTAAAGAATTCCTTCCCCATATCTAAACTACATTTCCCCTCTGAATTTGTACCCAGGACATAAACTAGCAGAGCTCTAGTCCTCTCTTTTCTGTCCTCAACTTGCTCCTAAGTGCAGATGAGCTAAATATAAATTGTGCAATACGCATTCAGATGTTCTCTTAGAGAAACCAATGCAAACCTTCCTGACAGCAAGTTGCACTGGTTGTTTACTTATTTTCATTTGAGGTTCTAAGGACCACACCCCCAGCAAGCTGCAAAGCCCCAGCCTTCAGTGATGCCTGAGAGGACTAGACTGGGTTTGTAGAGGGAGCAGAAGGCAGAAAAGAGCCTTTTGCTGTTTTGTCCTCTTTGGAAAGCCTTTACTCCAGGGAGATTCTGCTTTCCTGGAGAAATCGTTGCTTTAAATGACTCTTCCTCCATCAGAGAAGCTACAAACCCACCAAGAAGGTTTCTCCCATTCTCTCAGCCATGCTGGCTGGTTGAGAATGGTACAAAGTGTGGGAGCAGTACCCTATCCTGTTTCCATGTGAGTGAGCTCTGGGAGCTAAGCAGCCAAGGCCAGCCTGCCTTAACACAGTCATTTCCACCATCAGGAAGTATAATGTGAAAATTTCCTATCCTGTAAAAAGCTCCTAAAAAACATAAAACTTAGATCCACCTCTTGCAGTGCAAACTTTCATCTTAACTATTGCTTTAGGCTGGAGCTAGAAATTAGTTCCTCAGCTTCCAGTTCCTTGGACCATAGCAGCACATTCCTCCTGTTGATGAGAGGCATCAGGGGCTTTAAAGTATTTTCATGGTTTGTTTGTCATTTCTGCTTTGGATGGATTTTTTCTTTATGCCAAGAAAGTTTCCAGTGAGTTGTGGTTTATTATTTGAAAGGTGGTACTTTTCAGTGCTGAACACCACTTCCAGTGCACAGCACAAAATCCATGGCTTTTTAATTAACACTGCTGGCGCATTTTCTTTCCTTTAAGAAGTACTTGTGCAAAAACCAAGCCCACTGATCACCTTGGGGAGAGAGAGTGTGACCTGCTGGATCCTTAATTATTATTTAATTACTCATATGCTAAATTGCCTCTCTGGACAGATGAGCACTTTTGATCTGTTGCCACTTTTCCAGCCCCCCAGGGGCATTAGGGGGTTCATCGGGTGTCCGAGAGCTGCTGGCAGAGAGGGAGAGGCGAGTGTTGCTTTTCCAGGCTGCTGGATGGAGCTGTGAGGCAGGAACAGGCACCACCCCTCGCTGCAGCCACAACTGAGGCAACAGGGGTTTATTAATCTCATTTCCTGAGCCTAACGTACTGGCAAGTCTTCAGAGTTCAACCAGGAGCAATATACAAGGGATAAGTAATATCTAGGAGCAAAACCAGGTTTTACATAGATTTTTATTATCCACTGCTGATAGAGACTTTTTTTTAAAATCAAAAAGAAAACTTTTAAGGGCTCATGAAAGAACTTTCTATATCAACATACTTTTCTCAAATGCTTCAGTTGTGGACTCAAAGAGTATAAAGGACACAAACCTTTCAAAAATCACTGCAGTACTTTTAAAACACCATGCCTGGCCTGATGTCAGGCTGCTTAGCTGTGTCCTTTAGCAGAGATGCAGCTACAGAGCTTCCCTAGTGGTACCAGGCTATGTTGGGAGAAAAAGCACATTGGCTGTTTATTAAAAAAAAAAAAAAAAAATTCATCCACTTTGGGATTCATGGAAATGATGCAAACTCTCAAACTAATGGGCTTCAGCAATGGGACTCTCTAGTGCTCTAGTGACAATTTTTAATATAAAATTGCCTTCAGTCATCCATCACACTTTGCTCCATGATGTGGTAACGGGGAGAGGCCAAGGCAGGCTAATGAAATAATCTGAGCTGCTGAGGTGAGAAAGCTGCAGCTCTGCCAGGCTGAGAGCAGCTGAGGGCACAGTGTGAGGGGATGTGCTGGGGAGGGGCAGGCAGAATCTCGGGGAGAGGTTATGCTCTGAAAGCTGGGCTAGCAGGGAATGAGGAGACTGCACAAGAATGAGGAGCTGCTTGGAATAACACACACTGAGTAGTTCATTCTCCCTCGTGGCAGGGAAGTGGTGGTTCCCTGCTTCCCAGACTGGCTGAAGGGTGATGAGCTGGGCTTCTTACAGCTCCAGGACTTCTTACCCTCTGCCTCCTTAGCCAGGAATAAACTTTTTCACTTGGGATTGAATTTAACCCAAGAAAAATTTAGTCTGGATTTGATTATTGCTCTTTTGGCTCTTCTCAACAACCTGCAGTGGGTTTCAAATTCTTTGTTCATTTAGAGAGTGGACTTTGTGTAATAAATTGCTGTGTTGAGATCAAACTGGCTACTGAGCCTGGCCAGGGAAGGAACAGAGACCGGCAGTGCAGGAAGGAGCATGAAGTGAAGCAGTAAAATGTGCTTTAGTGATACTGCTGCTGGAAAACCTCTCCTGTAGAGCAGCTAATGGAGCACACACCGTGTACTGGAAGGAACAGAAGCTGGTGCTTCTGTGAGCACACCTGGCAGGCCTTGAATTTCAGACACACTGAAAATCCCACAACACTGATGGCAGCTTCTCAGAGGTGTACGTGTTTTATTAATAATGTGGTACCAAGACATTAGTTACAAATGTTTGACATCAAGGTGACCAGGATCCAAGGTGTAACCTGGAGACAGGAGGGTTTCACAACAGCCACACCCCCAAAGCAGCTCACAAGGCTGTCTCACCTCACCTGCTGCCTCTGGAGCCCTGGGAGGAGCAGCAAAGCCAGGAGACATTACTGACATCTTGCTGCAAACATGCTGGAGGGAACTGGAATTGGAAAAAGGTGATTTTCTTCCAAACTTCTCCTTTTGTTCCATTTAACTGATTGCAAAGTTAGGGAAGGTGGAAGAATGATCTGAAGGATTTTTAATTCATAAGCACTGTAGTTTCATGGGGTTTTAAAACCAACAGCCTAGAAATTACTCTGCCCCAGCATCCTGAGCTTACAAACATAGCCCCAAGAGGAAAGGCACAGTTTAGGGTTATTCTTGCTGTCCATGCTGGCCTAGGTCAGGCACTGCTGTGCTAGTATGGTAATAAATGACCCTGGGCCATCCCATAATGGCAGCCAGGGACACACAGGTAGCTCTGGCTTTTGAGGGAGCCCTTTCACCTTAGCAAATGTAGAAGGCCATGCCAAAGGATCTACGGAATGGCCAAGCAAAGACGTCTTGCGGAAAAAATGTAGTCTGGGAAGAATTCATGGCACGGCAAAAAGACAAGTTAGATCCTTCTAAAAAAATTAGTCCAAGTGGATTTCAAATTCAAAACTATTTAGAAAAAGCTAGTTTTTCTTAAGTATATTGCAGAGCTCTGGACCAGCTGGATTTACCTTCACTGCACACTTTGAGTGCAGCCATTCAGCACTCACCAACACAGTCCTGCATTTAGGAAGTCTGTCAGAACTAACTTAATTCCCTACAGTTGCTTTGGAAAAGTCTCCCCATTCCTAAGATGCAAGGTCACACACTGGTCTCAGAATAATGACTTATTTCAAAGTTCTCTTGTGCAGCAATCAGGAAAGTTTTTTCTAGTTAATGTCTCATTTATCTGAACTGCCAAATACAACAGCAGATTTATTGGGGCTCACAGAAGAGAGCAGGGAGCAGAACACAGATTCCTGTTCATGTTTCTAAAGGCCTTCTAAAGAGCTGTCACCTCTGCTGGCTTGCACTCAGTGCTTTACTACATCACTACATCCAGGTGTTCCAACACTTTGGGTGTTCCATCTAACATTTTCAAGCTTACATTCCAAGGCGTGGTCTTGGCCAAGGACAAGTCTTTGGATGCTGCAGTCTGGACCCAGGTTTAGGGCTCAGACTCTGGGGGTAACAATGCCCATCAGAGCCCTGGCCCAACAGCACCTGTTAGAAATCCTGTGTGCCACAAACCAGATCCACTGCAGTGGGGCCACTCTCACCCCTGTGAGGGAGCTCCTGGGGACTGCAGGCTGGCTTTGGGCACTTGACACATCGCTCCCTCCCAACTGCAGCACGGGCCCAGCTGTGCCAGAGCTTGTCACTGCAGGAGAAGCAGTATTATTTTCAACTGTGTGCTTCTAACTAATGCAACAGCATTTTCAAATAATTTAAGCAAGTGTTATCTTACAGATTTAGAGCAAAACGTTGGCATGTATAATTAGTAAGTAAGTGGGGGGAAAGATGAAAAATCATTGGAAATTCAAGACAGGAAAACATAGTGGCAAAATATCAGACTACTTCTCTGCCTCTGAATTCACTCATGACTTGAACAGGATGGATTCTCTTCTTTGCAGAACCTTTTCTGACAGCAGCATAGATTTCTTCTGGCTTCTCTCTTTTAATCAGGGGCTTCTTTTCTGGAGCCTTCATTCTCCACATCACAACTGGATGTCGTGGGCCAGTAGGACTCTGAATCTTGATAATCTTTGTGGATGCAATATAGGACATCTTCACTGTCTGCACCACAGAGTTCATTAAGTTTTTGGCAGCCTGAATTAGTGAAGTGACGCTGTCCAGCTGTAATAGGAAACAGAAACACCAGCCTGGAAGTCAGTGTGCTGTTAACCACAGTAGGCACAGGAATAAACACCAGTTAAAAAGTAAGACTACCAGAGATTAAACCATAATTCCCACATTTTCCTTTCGTCTGTTTGATCCCCATGCTCATGCTATGCTGCTCAGATTTATTGTGATGTATGGAAATTAGTGCTGGTGGAATATATACATGCTTTGGAAGATAATGCTAATTGGTTTTTTCTTTAACAGGAATTCATAATGCTTGTCTGCAGGGTTCTATTGCAATTACTACTGATGGGTAATGAAACCAACTTGAAGAAGAGCTGTCAAAATGTGACATCTTTGCTTCCTTTGTTTCATCACTAGGTAAGGCCTCCAACTGCTCCTGTCCCATCCCAGGCTCCCACAGGTGCTCAGGAGCAGTGCTGGGATACTCTGAAGTCTGGCTCTGGCTCTGCTAGAGCTGCTGAACCTGTTCTTAGCAGCTCAGATTTGTATGGGATATTAAAAGTGGGATGACCCACAGAAATCCCAGTGACTGTGTGGCCTCTCCAGCTGCTTGGGGAGTGCCAGCCAAGGGCAGGATGCAGAACAAACAAAGCCCATCACCTTCCCCAGCATCCAGCACAGCCATACTAGTGCCACAGCAGGGGCACCTTCTATCACTGCTCATGGACAGGAAACGGGAACACTGAGAAGCTCTCCAGGGCTGGGATGGAGAAATAGTAGGATTACTTTTCAAAATGGGAGAGCCTTTACACTTCACCTTCTAAACATCTCCTTTGCTGAAACATTTGTGTAAAAGCACTGAAGCCAGTTCTGTGAAGGGCTGTCTGTGGGTTTAGTGGCAGAGTGATCCTGTCCTCTGCCATCCAGCCCAACCCCAGAGCCTTGGACAAGGCACAGATTTACAAATGAGGCTATTAGGAGAGGTTTGAGGATTTCTCCCTTTGCCAGATCAAACAAATTGATCAGGTGAAAGAGGTGTGTTATTATTGTCTTCATTCTGATTGTCTAACATAAATACAAATAAGGCAGATACAAGAAATTCAGCCAAGAGGCTGGATTTAGTTGCAATATGGAAATGCCTCTGAACTGACAGAAAAATCTTCCAGTTAATACAACACACGCTGCTGCTCACTAGAAAGGGAAAAAAAAATTAAGATATCTGGTTGAATGCACACATACATGTGATGGCAAACTGAAATTATCTCAATTCCCCAAGAAAAGGTGTAAAAATATACCAGATGGCCTCTAAAGTTCATTCTGTGCTGCAGCACATGAACTTTGTATAAGGGGCTGCCAGTCTCTAGCAGGCACGTGTTGTTTGCAGGGCACAGTTGCCATCAGAGGGGTCGGTGGGTGTGCCTGGGGACTGGGATGTATGAACTGAGCAGGGAGCTGGGCTGCCCAGCCCCTCAACAGCCTTGGCCCTGCAGCACAGCTGCTGTCACACACTTTGATGGGACCTTCAATGCATGTGCTGGCCCCCAAATGTCAAACACTTCTTTATGCATCTAACACACATGAAACAAACCATTTCCCAGAGCTGCAGGCTGGTGGGGAGGTTCTGCTCCGAGCTCCTGTCCTACACTCCCAACACCTCTGCTGTGCACTCCCTTCCCCAGGGAGGCTGCCCAGCTCAGGGGCAGATGGAGGGAGCCCTAGGCACACCTCACTGCTGGATGCTGTCACACAGTGCTTACTGGAGCAGGAGGAGGCACAGCTTCATAGGAGCTTCTTTCTTTCTTTTCAATTTCACGAAATTTCAATTATCTGTTGCTGTCTTGAACAGCTGACAACACCATAATCCAGACAGCTTCTTGAAAACTTTGAATAACCTTTTTTTTCCCCCCTGCCCTAACACTTCCTTTTCCAGCACTGGCATAGTAATACTACTATGAGGCTGCTGGGACAAAGAAAAACATTGTTTTGGTTCTGTGGCAGATAGTAATGGGCTTCAGAGGAAGCTTTTTCCCTGAAGTCTCCCAGTGACTGCAGTGTATGCAACTGCTCCACCATTTTAAAGTTGCTGAGTGATAGAGGCATGTGAGGAGGGGTGGCAGATTGGGCAGCAAATAAATTCTTGTTTGCATGGCAGGGAAAATGGTTGTTGAAGAAACTGGTAGCATCCAGGCAGCTGTTCTCTACTGTGACTTCAGTGTGTGTAGTGTGGAACATGGAGAATGCTGAGGTGAGCACTAGAACTGAGCTGGTCTTTCCTCTGCTGTGGAAACTGAACAGTTACATCCTCCTTCTGCCCCTTGTGGCTTCTTCCACAAATCAGCTGTGGAACAGTCTAGGGCTCCTTCACCCCACCACTGGGATCAAGAAAACTGTGTTTTTATTGTTTTCTAAACTATAATCATAGGTATCTACTATAAGCAGCAAAAAAACTTCAGGGATGCCTAGCTTTGGTGAGGCTTTAACTGAGAAGCAGTTTGCAGCCATGTCAGCCCCCTAGTCTGACACAGGCTCTGGGAGGGGTCACCTGTCACCTCAGCATTTGAAATGCTGAAGAGCCAAAGCCTGACTCCAAGCCCAGTTGCAGAACTGTTCCTAGTGGCAGAATTGCCCTTGCCATGCCAGAGGAACTGGACCTCTGCCATAGCATTAAAGCTCTACAAAAGATGCCCTGAGCCACAAAGAGCCATGGAGGTACCTGGCCCCAAACTGTGAGAAACAGCTCTGTGTGTCCCCTGCTGCAAGACAGTGACCTGGAGCCCACCAAGGGTGTTTGACCTGGGCTTTTGCTGCATTACCTGGGGCTGGGCTAAGTCAGAACAGGAGTGAGGTGCAGGGACACTCAGCTAATGCTGCCCTTTAGGCTGTCTGCTCACAGCATTGCCTGTGTCCTTGTGTCTGCCTGTCCCTTCACCTTTCTAATGCAGCTCGCATTTGCCTTCTAAAGAGGAAGGTTGTGTTGGGGTGGGGTATTAACTGCATTCAGGATTTTGGAGAAGCTTTTAGATGTTCTTAGATGTGTACTACAGATGGTAACAATCGGGCCATACATTTAATTTCCTCTTTTTTAGCTTTAGAGAACAGTTGTTTTTCTACCTCAATACCAGTAACACTGTACAGTTTGGTGGAAATCTGTTCTATAAAACTGTCTTCACTTGGATGCTTTTATCTCACATATTCAGCAGGCTCTTCAAGGTCTCATATCCAGGAAAACTGAAGAAATGAAACTTGGCATAAATGAAAGCCTGATAAAATATTCATTGAGCGTTTAAGTCCATTTCACTTAGAGAGATGTAGCTGCAAACTCCTCAAAGCACACCAAGTGGTACATAAAGATTCACTGGCAAAACAAACAAACCAACCAACCCCAAACTAAAACCTGTTTTATTTGTGACTAGCTTCACTTCTAGTCTTTCAGCATTTTCCATGGAGATGTTGAAAGATCTAGTCGTCCTAGTCTTCAGATTTTACAAGTCTGACTATGTAAGTTAAACAAGTAATTAATTCAAGGGTTTAGGGAAAACATCCCTTGCCATTTCTTTCCTCACCTGTCCTCATCTGTGAGCAGTAGTACTTGGCTGCCATTGCAAAAGGAATTCAGAATTATTCTGACCACTGTAATTTCACACTGGGGTGAAACACACATGATACAGAGCAGATGGCAGTATATTTTAAGAAAAAAAACCCCATCCCAAATCAGGCTGGCAGCACTCATGCTGAAATCCACTCTCCTTTCTCCAGAACTTTTATTCCTCCTCTGTAGTAAGTCCTGAGAGCAAAAAAGCAAACTCTCCTCTGAATAATGAAGCTGAAGGAAAAGGTTAGACAATAAATGAATTTTGAAACTTTTTTTTTCAGTTTGCTTACATGCATTGTATTTTTCTTATTTTGGTAATTTCACGTCATGGGAGTAGTGGCAATCCCTTGCTATGAAATGCTGAACAATGTAATAACTGATATGGCAGTTATGTTTAATATTAGAATAACAAAGAGAATAATGACTTAGAAACTCAAGAAACCCTTCTGCTGTCAAGTTCAGTGTTCAGCGCAGTAAGAAATGCTTCCATTGTCCCATGTCAGCAGTAGCTGTAACTTGAGCAGCAGTGAGATACAAACTCTGCTGACTGCAGGGCACACAGAGAGGCCAGGCTCCCTCGTGCTCCCATTGCTGGTGATGTGCAGGTGCTGTCCTCCTGCCCGAGGCAGGGACAGACACTTTGTGCCTTAGGAACAAAGCTCTGTGGGGCTGCAGAACAGCACCCCAAAGAGTGTACCCTGGGGTGCCTGTAGCCCCAGCTGGGACACCTGCACTCCTCTGCTGGGAGTGTTCTTGGCGTTCTGCAGGGAACTCTACAGTTTGGCTGGTTGAGAACAGATGTATTAGTTGGCTGCTTACAGTATCCCAAGTCTCATTTACAGTTCACCCAGATTTAGGTTTTCCATACAGGTGGAAGCTGGGAACTGAACACCAAATACAGACTTTTTTTATCAGTGTTTGAAGTCTGAACCTAAAAATCTTTTGGAAATAAGGTCAGTTATTAAAAATTGGTTTTAATTGAAACACAAGGTTCATTATGTAAATTCCTAGAAGGAGATTTCCTTTGGTATACTATACTGCGAGACTAAATTTTTATTTCTCTGACAGCTACATCTGAAAGTAACATGAGTTCTACATTTTTGTGGAGAGCAGTGAGTGTCTGAGTACTGCTGTATTTCAGGTAAAGAGTCCTTACTATATTGTGCTTTTGATTTTAATCCTGCTTTTCTACTAGGTGTAGATAATTGCTGTTTTGAATTATTTTATGGCTCTTTCACTGAGGTTGCTGTATAGAATAGTCATTTAATCCCTTAAGATTAAAAGTGGCAGAATAATCCAAAAAGAGTGAAATCTCTGTTGCTGAAGGCGTTGGAGTTTTTACTGGGCCTTGGCCAGGATTTTAACGCCAGTTGCCTGCTTTTCTGAGCCTCCTTTTTTTTCCCCACTCAGAGTAGTGTTAGTTTCTTTTTAGTGGAACTGGAGATCTTAGTTTAACAGCGGAACCAGAAGATGGGTGTCCAAGAAAAGCACAGCAAAGCTGGAACTGGAAGCCCTTGGTTACCTGCCATGTGTGCTCATGCAGCTGACAGATGACACAAACAGTCTGTCACAGATTCAACCCCAGTACAGCTTAGACGGGAAATGAGCCAAATGCAGCTTTGCCATTGTGATTCTTTTCTCTGGGAACTGTTCCCTCAGTGTTTCGCTCACCTCTGCTTTGCCATGCTCGCACTCTGGGATACTGGAGAGGTTTCACCCCCATGGACATGGCCTCACCTCTCACATTTCTTTTCAAGGAACTGAGCTTTCCTAGAAATGTGGCTGTTCCATTGGTTATCTATGTTTGTGTCCATCCAGTGATTGCATTAAACACCTTAGGGGTGTCTGGGGTCTGTTTCATGTCTTACCCATTTTTCAGGTGGGGAAATTGAATCTAATGGACTGAAAACTAACCATTACCAGAGTCTGCTTCAGGCTAAGCAGGATTCAAAGAATTGGAACTAAGTTCTATAATTAGGCCAGGCCTGTGTCCGAGTTAAATGATAAACAACTCACATTAAGGGCTGCAAAATTGTTCCCGTGCAACACCATAATGGAGCAGATGCTTAGCCAGGCGGATAGCTGAGTCTCTCCCCAATACTGCTGCTTTCACTTCCAGGGAGGATTTAAAAAAATCTATTTTTTTAAAAATAGGCCCTTGAGAAAAAGAAGACTGGCTTAATATAAATCCTTCCTTACTGTCAAGGAAGAAATTGAGTGTTTGTTGCAACAATGTTTTACATACACTGAAGCTAAGAGCTGTGAGACACATCCTGATTTTGCTAATTGCCAGAGTAATTATTACTAGGAAAAGTAACATCTGTCCTTTTAGTGTACATTACCAGAAATATTTCCTACTCCTTTAAGTTAGCTTTTCTAAGTAGGTGCAGTTTAGAATACAGTAGAAACTGAGCTCTCTGTGAGTGATTGACAGGAAAATCTGTCCCTTGCTTTGCTTCCAAAGGCCAGGATTTCTATATCCACACACCTGTCAGCATACACTATGCAAAAGCTAGATAGGTATAGTGTTACTAAAAAAAAAAAAAAAAACAAACAAAAAAAAACCAGAGTGAAATATTTCCATCAACTCTCAGCAGAAGAAAACTTGTGTCAGCTCTTGGGGGTTAATGTCAGCTTTTAGAAACTGAGCAGTTCAGTATTTTCAGAGTCAAATACTGAAATAAGTGATTTCATGCATGGTGTGAAGCCCTACAAGTAACCTCCCCCATCCATTAAGAGTTCTCAACAAGAGCCAAGGAGAAGCACCAGCCAGGAGAAGTGAAGTGGCTGAGCCCGGAGCAAGAGCTGTGCCCTGTGCTCAGGGGCACGGCTGTCAGAGCAGCCACTGTGGATGTGAAGCAAGGGAAAAGGGATGCTGTTCCCCCCAGTCACACCGCAGTGAGGATAGCGGTGGAGGCACAAAGCAGGTACTGTAGTGACTTGAGTGGGCAGTCGCTATTCCATTGTCATTCCCAGCTTGCTGCTTTTAGCCCTTTGTTCCTTCCATCCAGTCCACAGCAAGGCTGTTCTGCCATCTCACTTCTCTTCCAGGGGGAAAGCACATCCAGACCCTAAAATGAGCTGAAATGCCCTGCTCCCATCTCCTGCCCTGCCAAAGGGGCAGCTCCTCTCCAGCAGCAGCTGAACCCCTTCCAGTGGCGAAGGCATGGGGCCATTTGCCACTGCCACAGCAGTGCACCTTGGCCAGGACAGCCTTTTCCTGGAGTATGGATATCCAGGGATAGGGACTGTGTCAGCCAAAGGCCTGGGGGCAGGGACCCTCCCTTGAATTTTTCTAATTTCTGGCTTGCCTCTATGTTTTCACCTGTGGTTCAGCCCTCAAAGCTTGAACACATTTATCACAAGTGTCATGCTGGAAACTTGTGATTTAACAGGCCCAGGAACTCAGGAAGGGAAACAAATATTTCAGTCCAGCCTTGGAACATGAAGTTAAGACACATTAAACTACTTCCATTTGGCACAAAAGCAGCCTGATGCCAGTGTTTAAGTCTGGCTCTTGAGACACCAGGGGGAAGAGCTGAAGATAAATGAGACATTTGCAGAAACAGAAATGGAAAACAGCCCTTAGTGCACAAGTAATGCTAGCCAGCATGGGGTGGGGGAGGAAGCTTCTGTGCCAGTTAGCAAATTCTGGGATACTGGAACTCTTGAGAGTTTGCTCTTCCAGACCCTTCTGTTATGTGTAGTAGATATAATTCGCGCCATTTCTAATATGATATATGTGATATTGAATATTTGTTAGAGTATACATGTTTGTATTAGGATCCCCCCCCCCAGTCTCACAGGCGCAGGTGAGACTGGGTGTAGATTGGAAACTGATTTACAAGTAAGAAGGTACAGCTCGCCAGGAGATGGGCCATGGCTGGGGAGATACAGAAACCCCAGGTGCTGATCGTTCACGTGAACGACCTGAGATGGATATCATTGAAATCCTCAGTCAGATACATGTGAATACAGCATTCCCCTAAATTTCATCAAAGGATTCAACAAACTCCAGACAGTGATTTGTTCTCCCTCATCACCAAAAAGGAAAATCTTATTAACACATAGACTCTGAATAGAAGAAAAGACTGATTGCTGAAATCTTGGCCTCAGGCAGAATTTTCCCTATAAAAACCGCTTGTGCCAGGATGGAGGTGTGTGGGCATGGAGGAAAACCTCTGCTGAGGCTGACTCCTTGTTGCACACCCAGGGCTGACCCCGGGCTCGGCTCTGTTCTTTCCTTGTGGCTGGCTAGATAGAATTTGATTGTAAAATAAATATTTTATTTTTTCATATTAATTTGGCTGGACAAATTTTCATTTATAACACTTCCTTTTTAGGGCAAAAAAGCTCTGTCTCTCTCATCAAGTACACTATAAAATGAAACCTAAGATAATGACTGTAAATAGCACAAAACAGAATTGCCTGACAAAAGTAATGGAGAACAGTATTAATATGTAAGATATGTTCATTTTCTGCCCTGTGATATAATTCTCTCTAGTTAAAGCCATTTTTGGAAAAGAGCAAACTGGCACGGTAAGGTGCAAGCCTATTGCTGTGCAGTGCTTGTAAGTGAAGTATCAGCTTATCTGCATAAACGAATGCAATTACTGTCAATCTGCATACTGCAAATGTTACCCCATTATTTTGTGCCTGAAGAGGCACCAGTTTAATTAATAGAAGGAACAAAGACTTAGTGAATCCTCACCATCTGGACTTGTGCAGCTTAGAACCTGGCAATGCAAGTACTCACAATATTGGATGGGCCTATGAAAGACTAAATAGCAAGCAAGGAATTTTTCATGAATGAAAATAACAAAACTGCAATGAATGGAGACCTAGAAGGTGATGATCCACATCTCTTCCTCCCTTTTTCTGCACAGGACCCCCTCTAACCTCCGTGATGAGGGACTGAATAAAGTACTAGAGCTTAGGGGTGGACAGTGAGGAAAGGCAGACTTGAAGTGTGTGTAGCCTGAAGTCCAAAAGCCACTAAACAAGGACAGCAGAGAGAAGAGCTGCCAGCTGGGAGCTCCACAAAGCATCCCAGCTGCCCCAGGGAAAGTGGCCTCATTAACCTCCACTGATGCTACAGCCAGGTATGAACTATAGGCAAGAAAACACCCCCCGGGAGGGGTGGGGGTGTGTGTGTGGAATGAGCACTGCTGCAGGGCAGACATGGGCACAGAGCAAGAGCACACAGATCAAAAACAGCTGAAGAGGACTGAGTTGTGTTTATGGATTTCTACAGTTTTTCATATGCATAATAGTCTTTTTTTGTCATGCTGACAGCTAGCAGCACCTCCTCCAGTGCAGAGCAGCATGCTGGTGAGAACAGTTTCCTGCCGACAGGGACACAGCTGCCCCTGTGCCATGGCACTGCCACCCACTGCTCCACGGTACTATCCACAGTTAATCTGGAACACCAGTTTAGGGCTCCTTTACTTTAGGGCTCCTTGCTCTACCACAGCATCATCCAGAACTAGCAACACAGTGACTCTGGCTGCTCTGTTTCAAGAAGACACTGCTTTCTTTTGCAGATCTGCAAACACCTGACGCTACATCCTGTCGGAATCTGTGGGTATTTGTGATTCTGAGATTGTAGAAAGTCTTTGTCTTTCTGCCTTGTTGCTAAAGAAGAAGCCATAATTCATCTGTGTTGTTTTTAAGGTTGTTTATTTTTGCTTATTTATAACACGTTCTGCTACTCTGCCGCAGCTCTGTCCTGCAGGGCAGCGTGTGGGGCTCTGCCCTCAGTGGGATGGTACAAACATTAAATACCACAAACTACCTGTGCTGGATTTACAATAACGTGCCAATATCTGTCACCTACGTTGGACAGTGTGTCCCCAGCCTGAACCAACAGAAAAATGCCAACACCACAGTGAAACATGGAGGGCATGAAGAAGAAAAGGACAAGACACACCCAATTCCTCCATCTTGTCCCCTCTGAACCCCTAATCTAGAAACCTAAAATTTTACTTTTGCACCCGTGCCACACTTAATTATTACTCTTATCAAACACTCAAAGCTTGTAATTCATCCTGTAAGATTGAAAACTCTTTTCCATGGACAGAGATCACAGACAGTGTCTCTGGGGGCTCTGTACAGGGGGGTTCCTGACCCCTGCCAGGGTCCCAGAGCTGCCAGGGCAGCCAGAGGGAAGCCCTGGATTCCCACATCATCCTTTGCTTTTCATCCCTCTCACTTGGTCCTAAGGCTTCAAGGGAGACTGGTTTGGATTATTTTTTTAATGAACTCCTGCTCTTGTGAGAAGGAACTTTCCTTGAAGGTGATTCAAACGCCAGATCCTTGTGCACAGTTCTAATGACTGGAGAAAGGAGCTGTGGGGTGAATGTAAGAGCCATCTCAAAACAGTGCTTTTATGGTGGATTCCACCAGCTGGTACTCAGGGTGGATTTGTTACTGTGGAAGATGGTTCTGGCCCATCTGAACGTGGAAATGTGTAATTTCTCATAGGAGAGGAGCTTCTCCCCTCAGCTTTTGTGCTGCCTGTCCCAGTGAGAGCCAATGCCAGCCAGAGGAGGGGAGGATGCCCAAGGACCAGGGAGGTCATTCCTGCACATACCTACATGGCTGCAGGGGTGGGGCAAACAATGGAGAAACCTGTGAGTAGGATTATTTCCTAATGCTCTTTCTGGCAGATTTCTTTTCCTGTAGCAGATCTTCACTAACCAGATGATGGATTCAGTTTCAGGTATTTGGAGACTCAATTTTTTTTACTTAATGCACAATAAAACCTTTACTAGCTGCAAGGGCTTGCTGTCTCCTTTTCTGATTCTCATTCAGACAAGATCAGGACTAGGGAGAATATAAAATGTAATCCAATTCCACCTACACTTCCAATTCCTGTATTTTCTAATGGAGTTCTGATATTATTTTCTGGGAAGGGAGAAGGTGGAAAGGGGGAGAAGAACCCCTCTGCTGTCTCATACAGAACTTGGGTTTGTCAGTTCTTTCAAGGCCAGCTAACCTAGGAATGTCATCAATTTCTAAAGCCCCCACATGCACTTTCAAAACTGGAACTTGCTCCAGCTTTTAAGAAAAGCAATTCAGTAACCAGCCATTTTATACCACTACTACATTTCTCTCCCTCTCGACTAGCAACTTATCAACAAAAATCCCACTATTCTTCTAAAACTGAAGCAATTAAAGCATATAGAGTTAAATTAATAAAAAACGCCATCACTGGTTGGTTGGGCTGCACTTTCAGATAACCACAATTTTAATTGCAGGGGGGCAGATGAGCAGAGTCAGTCACGAATGACCTTCCCTTCCCACAACCAGGAAGACTTTTTTTCAATTTTCTAGAAATTTTTCATAACCACTGACACCAACCATGTCTCCACTGTCTTTAAAAGGCCTGGGGTGAGAGCACAGGTCTCTTTTGACACTGGCTAGCAATTTAACTCTTTTCTATGTAGCATCCATATTATTAAAAAAAAAAAAAAAAGTAACACAGTCATTGTTGGGGCATTTTCTAAGATTATTTAAGAGAGTAGCGACCTTGCAGCATCTCACCTTGATTTCACAGAACACTTCCTGCAGCGGTGATGGGCGTGACATGGCTGCTTTTGGCCACAGAGGCAGCTGCGAGTGAGGCTGTGATTGGCTGGGGAATGCGTGGGCAGGTCAGGAGCAGGAAGCTGATTGGATGCGAGCACAGGTGGGAATGTATGAGTAGGAAGCTGATTGGACGGGAGGACATGTGGGAATGCATAAGTAGGAAGCTGATTGGATGCGAGCACAGGTGGGAATGTATGAGTAGGAAGCTGATTGGACGGGAGGACATGTGGGAATGCATGAGTAGGAAGCTGATTGGACGGGAGGACATGTGGGAATGCATAAGTAGGAAGCTGATTGGTCAGGAGGACATGTGGGAATGTATAAGTAGGAAGCTGATTGGACGAGAGGACATGTGGGAATGCATAAGTAGGAAGCTGATTGGTCAGGAGGACATGTGGGAATGTATGAGTAGGAAGCTGATTGGACGGGAGGACATGTGGGAATGCATAAGGAGGAAGCTGATTGGACAGGAGGACATGTGGAATGTATGAGTAGGAAGCTGATTGGATGGTAGGAAGGTGTGGACAGCAGCATGGCAGCTGAGCCAGCCAATGGGTGTGCTTCTTCTGTCAAATTCTGTTACTCCTGGTTTGGTTTCAGTTACGTCAGGCTAAAATTAAAGGTATAAAAAGAGGCCGATTTCTACACTAAAGCGATCTCCTTCCGATGCTAAGGGGATCCGTGTAGCTTTGTTCCCACTGCTACAAACACACAGTTGGCTTTCTCAAGTTCTGGATGCATACAGGACAAATTCTCACCCTCCTGCCTTGAAACAAGGTTAGGATCTATCGTCATCTCTTTGGGATTATCAATCAAGTTAAATTTGGGGTTTTTTAGAGCTTTAAATTTTTGCACCAGACAGATTATGCACTGTTGACAGGAGTTACACAACATAAAAGGTAAAGAAAACAACGTGAGCGTTCTACAGCAGGAAGCAGAAACCAAGAACCAAACTTCGTTCAAACATTTGGCTTTACTGTAACTCACACTGGTCACAGAACTGCTTGTGAATAGAAAAAGGCAAGGAAGAGAAACTGTTAATGTGCAGTGCAAGTGAAAACACGCATTGGCTTCAGAAATTGTATATTCAATTAACTGTATGTTCCAGAGGTTCAAATGTGGTGTCTCAATTACCAATTAAATTAGCCAGCACAAGTATCCTATAGAAATGAGTGTTTCAAATCTCACCTCAGCAACAAAGGCTCATTTCTGATTATTTACAAACCACATAAAATCTAAGAATAGTTTTAGTGAAACATAAATAGGGATAGGTAGGCCTGCAGAGAGACAGAAACAGGTACATACAGATATTGATGGGTAAAGACAGGGCTAGACAGGCACAGGGAGAAGCAAAGATAGAGACAGGTACAGAGAGCTTGACACAGGTAGAGGCAGCTCTAGAGCAAGGTGTGGGTATAGACAGGGGCACATAGGCTGACAGAAATGGACAGAGAGATGTGCTGACAGATCTTGTCAAGCAGAGGTAGGTATTGACTATCTAGATAAAAGACATTTTTGACAGGGAGAAGTAGTGACAGGTACACAGACATTGATAGATAGAGACAGGTACAGATAGATCCTGACAGATTCTCTAAGATTTTAGCCAATTCTGTTAGATTTTGGCAGATTCTGACACTTTTTGACATAAAATCTCTTGCATTCTGGCGGGTTCTGACAGAGATATTGGCAGTGGTGGAGACAGATCTTTGACAGAGATTTTGTCAGATATTGACAAGTACAGAGAGGGAGATATATATAAAAACAGAGTGACAAGGACTGACAGGTGGAGTAAGTATAGATGGATAGACATGTATAGCTGACTAGCAATACATATAGATGTATAGGTAGGGATGTGTATATACAGAGAGGTGGAGATATAGGTACATACAGACAGACAGGTTTAGACAGGGAGAGCTAAATATTGACAGGTATAGATAGGTACAGAGAGATGGAGGGACATAGAGACAGGTATCGCTGGGTGTAGACAGGTACAGATACATACAGACAGATATAGATCAGGATACACAGAGGTAGGTGACCACAGATAGCCAGGGACACATACAGGCACAGACAGAGGAACAGGTGGGGAGGGAGAGATAGAGAGAGCGAGCATTCTGAACTATGGCAATGAAGTTCCTTTGAACATAGTGCAAAGTATGTAAATGGTAGGAATGTGCCCAGTGTCGTACTTGGTTTTGGTGCTGTCTGGCAGATTTATACCTCAAAATCACAATCCTATGTACTCCAAGTAGTAACATGTCACACATGCGAATGTGAAGGCATTTTATGGATGGCTATGCTGAGGCCAAGTGCATAAAAGTTTCATAAAATCACAACATGTCTTTTCCATGGCTAATGATACTTGGCTGTAAGGGAGCTAGTAACTCTTAAAGCAAATTCAAGCAAAGTAGATAAATTCACTCAGGAATCGCGTCACCTTGCTCTTCCTGTTATTTATTTCTGTTGACCTGTAGAATGTCCTGCAACATTTTTTTCTGGCCTGGAACGTCACTCCTGGACTGTTTTTATTGTGTTCAGACACACACAAGCATATTCCACATGTGTAAGCAAATGCACCTTACAGTTCTTCAAACCAACCTACTTCAGAATAACAGTGATAATGTGCTGTGAGAATTTAAAAAGGTGATTGTTATTCCTTTAAAGCCGGAAGTCTTACGCGTCTCGGTCAGAGATTCTTGCTGTTAAATGGATATTGGAAAAGAAAACAGGCTTTGGAGTGACAGTGGAACATGCTGCAAGCACAGGAAAGCCCAACTCAAATGGAACACCTCGTTGGACTAACAGAGTACTTGATGCTATTTTTCTACTTACTGCAGACATGATGAGCTCTCCACCGAGATTTTGGATTTCTGCTTTAACCTGGCTGCAGATCTTGAGCTGATGGGAGTATAGCTTGATCTGTTCTAGGTAAGCTAGTAAATCCTGTTTGCACGACTGGTCTGGGCACTGAAAAGAACAATAAATAAAGCACTTCAGTAACTGCTGATTCAAAATGATGTCTCAGGATCACGTTGAAACTTCACTGAGGAGTATTCCAGTTGCAGACTACTGGAGCCTTGCTCCAGATACACTGCAGTTGTATCAGGCTGCAAAGTTCATTCCTCTTGGGAAGCTTTTTAAAGCTATAGTTGGAAACTCAGATGAAGCCTAAGATTCCCCACATGCACTCTGTATTTAACATTGCTGAGCTTGCTTTAGCAGTATTTCTAAACACATCCTTTAGTGTATGGAGTCACTTCCAGTCCTTATATGATCTCTAAGAAAATACCTCTATTAACAGTGATGAGGGTAATCCAAACAGATTTTGTGGACTGTGTAACCATACATGCAGAGATATGTTAACATCTATATATTATGCTTTATCTTGTAATGTGATCTATGGGTTTTTGTTGTGTTCCATCCAGGCTGTACTGAACTCAATCTAAACATCTTCTCTAACTGTGGGAACAGCAAAATTAGAATGTCTTATGGAAAAGTCACAATAAAAATTGTCAATATTTTTAACAATGCAGATTTCTATTATAGAAATAAAAATCGTATTGCTGTAGCCTGATTTTTTCCCAAAATACATGGAGTACTTGGAGAGCAATGTTGCTCTGTGGGTACTAGGCCAGTGATGAAAGGCTGGGTATGAATTTGTTCTAAGGCTGATTCTCATTGCTCTGGCAGAATAAAGGGATCTTAAGGGGAATCGTGAGCCCCTCGTGTGCTCCCAAGGCTGGAAAGAGTATGAGTGATAAATAAGCACGAGATCCCTGCAGGTTTGCAGACACGGTGGTGGCCCAGCTGTGGTACACACATGATAAATACAACCCCTTCCTTTTGACAGGAAACTCTGCTCAGCTTTGCATACTGAAAAAGCAAAGATACATCCCCATCAGCTGCACACTGTCAAAAATCACCTGCGGTTTTTAAAAATTGTGGTTAGTGAATTTAAATCAAAAACCCACCAGGAGCCAGAAAAAGCACCCATTCTACTTAACTCCAAAAATATTTCAGCTCCTGGCTTTGCTGAAGCAACAGTACATGTTCAAAGGGCTGGTGTGACAATGCTGTTTTTCATGGCTATGCAATAATAGCAAGTTCATGCTTTAGACTTAGCAAAAGGTAACAGTAAACAAGGTCAGAGTGTACAATTTTAAATTAATTAATATAACTTAACATCAGTCCTTACCTCATGTTCTGCTACATTCATTATTGTTTCCTGTATTTGGGCACAGTTTACAACAAAAACAGAACATTTCCTTGACATATTATCTTTCTATGTGATGGAAGATGCTCTAAAATATGTTTTTATTTCTTCCTTATTAAGCACTGCTTTAAGGACTGCCCAAAGCAGTATTTATATAATAGTATCTCAGTGTTTAGAATGCTGGAATACTGTTTATTTAATTTAATTAATAAAAAATTATACTTCAAGTAAAGTACAATACAATCCCTTAGAGCATCAGAACTCATAATACCAAGATGGTGTGTATTCCTGGAATGACATTCTTTCTTCATCATTTTTTTCTTTCCTTAGTTACACTTTGATTTTATCCCTCTGGCCAGAAAAACTACAGAGAAAGGTGTATAGGGTGCCAATATAGTCCCTCATCCACTTCAAACAGTGACAAGTCCAATTACAGAAGTTCAGAGACAAAAATTATTATTATATAGTACTCTTTTATATTCTAGTGTCAGGCCAGTCACAGGTACTGTCCCCTTACACAGCATTACGTGTAATGTGTAAGGGGATAGGTAGGCCTACAGAGAGACAGAAACAGGTACAGGAATGTGAACCATTTTAGGAATGTACAGACGATACACGTCAAAGGCGAGGAAACTGCGCTCACGAACAAGACCTTGAGGTTCTGTGGAAACACTTTCAGTGCCAAAAGCATTCAAAAAAGCAAGTGGAGGGCATTGGATAAGAAAATTCTCCTGAAATGTAATTATGCAACTGTACAAGGCTGTGCCATATCCACAGCTTCACTACCTGAGAAGATACAGTGCATCCTTGTCCTGCACCAGCCACACCAAGGCCCAGACAGAAGGAGGATTCTGTACTGAATTCTGGTATTCTTCCTCCATTACAAACCCCAGGGGTCATTAAAAGCGACTCCCAGGAGCACAAAAAAGGAAATGGTTTTTAATGTGGGGTTGTCAAATTGCAGAAATCTTTGTTACAGAATGGTTATATTAAATTTTTACATAAGTAAATGAAATTACTGGACAAACAAATGGGAAAGTATCAAGGACTATCTCCCATGTCAAGTGTATCAGAAATATGTTTGGTGATGTAAATTCTGGCATGGCTGCTGGAGGCTGGGAGCACCATGGAAGTCAGGCCACGCTCTCCTGAGCTGTGTCAGTATCAGTGTTACCTCCTGGCAGCAGCAGGGACCAGCATATCCATACCTGAGCTCTGGCCACAGCGCTGCAGCAGAGGGTCGGGCTGGCCAGGGCCCCGCTCACACACAGCACTGCAGAAAATTAAACCTCATGCCTTGTAGCATGTCAGATCAGCCATCAGCAGACATTAGGAACAAATGTACTGCAGGGAGGACGCTGCATAAGGAATCATCTACCTATCGCTCAGAAGCAGCTGATAGAAGCAGCACTTGCTCACCAAACAGAAGGACAATCAATAAATTCTGAGTTTCATCATCCCACAGGCAATTGATAGTTACTAGTTTGCTGCTGCACATTCCTGACTGAAGAGCCCATCAGATTCTGAGAGGATTTTCCCCACACATCCTGCGGGCAGTTGCTAACAAGGGCTTTCTGTTAAGAGCAGCATCAGAAGTGACCTGCATCCCAAAGATGCAGTGGTATTTTACCTGACAGAATATCCACCAGAACATCCAAAAAACCTGAGAAATTAAAATAATGCAGTGATTAAAACCAGACTGAAACCAGCATTCACCATCCAAGAGAAAAAGCCAGAGGCACAGCAGTTGCACAGGGGGTGTCAATGAACAATCACAGGAGCTTCTGACCACAGACCATTCTGGGTTTGCTTTGTTCTCACTTCATCTGCTTGCTAAAAAAGACCAAAGCATTTCTCTAAAGAATCCATATCTGTCTTTATAGGGATCTATATTGGGAATAATCACCCACCACCTACTATAAATGTGTGCTGTGTACAGACAGGAGGGAGCTTTGCTGCTCCACCAGTGGGGTTCTGTCACCCAAAGGGATTATTTAAACAGTACTTTTCTGACCACTGTAATTAGCTCTCACAAATAGCATTCTGAATGACCCAGCCAGGGCCTGCCTGACTGGGAGCCTAATGGGAGGCTCTTAATAGAGACTTCACTCTTCAGCATATTTCATCAACCCAGGGGTGAGGTACTCGCTGCCTTCATTATCTTAGGGCTTCCAGGTCACATTAAGTAGCAAAAATCTTCTTACAGAAGGAACAAAGAACAAAAATCTTCTGACAAAAGGGAACGTCTCCTGATAACAAATTTATAATGCACTTGTGATTCATTTGTATAGGTTGCTGCCAGTGCTGTAACCCTTGTTACTCTGAGCCATCCTAGAAGTGTTTGTGACTGTGGACTGAAATAGCTGAGTTCTGCTAATTGTATCATACTGTATGCCTTCCCTTCAAACACAGCAACAGGGAGGTATAAAAATCATACAAATCCTTCTTCTTCACATAATAGAAATGTTACAGAATTCAGTTGTTAGTAAAAGGCAACATGTGAAATACTCCACTAAAAAGTCCAAATGCTGCTCAGGAAGGCACTACTGGCACTCATGGTCTACTCTGAGTACCAGATTCCTGAAGGGCTTATTCAGTTTGGCCCAAATTCAGAGGACAGGTATTTGGTAGTGCAGAGGAATGTAAAGTTTATTTTATTTTAAGACCCCAAGAGTGCAGGGCATAGGAGACATGGCAAAATAACAGCTGAGAAAAGGAATTTGAAAATACCTTCAAGATTAAAGAAAACCACCACAATGAGAAAAGAGCTTTCAAAGTTGAAGAATAACTTTGCACAGCCAAAAAAACCTTTTAAAGCTTCTTTTAACAGAAGTTAATAGCTCTTTAGCCATGCAAGGAATGAGAGGATCATACTAAGAATATCTGTAACAGGAGAATAAAGCAAGATTCTCTTTACTAAATTTGACACCTATCTAGCAATACTTGCAATTGTGTTCACCATAACTGGAAGAGCTGCCTTGGTTCACCTTTTGTGTTTGGATTTTTCTGGTTTTAATACATGTAATGTAATGTAAAACTGCGTCTAAAATCCAAGCAACACATGTAATAAGGAGTGTCCTTCAGATGCACAGAACCAGTCCCAGGGGTCAGGTGGCTCCCAGGTGCCAGATGTGTGCAAGCTCTGAGCAAGGACAAAGGCAAGGAGTTGGAGTCAACTCAGTAAACGGGTTACAATAACCTGAATTATGTCACATTTCCCAGCAGCTCTGAGGTGACACACAAATTATCACCACTAGTGGTTCATGAATACTTTCTCCTCATACTGATTTGCTCATGTTTCTAGTCTGGAGTCATTTTACAAATACAGCTGAAATCTTTCTTTCATAGAAGAAATATTTTAGTGAGAGTGGATTCTCTGTCCTAAATCCAGCAAGAATTTACGACCTTTATTCATCTTTGGCTTTTCTATCTCATTGTTTTCTGCAGTGTATCAGTGACAGGTTTGAATTTTAATCTGTAATAGATAAAATCTTAAAAACAGCTGTTGTCCAGTGCTGGAAGAAAGTGTGTTAAGATCAGGAATGGGGAATCCAGACCTTTTACCTATTTTATCCACAAATCTGATCACAACTGTATAGATGCAAAATAGAAATTCTTTGTTATCTGGAATTCAGACAGACACATGACAACCACTAACAGACTGGTTAGCAACAGACTGGTGTTGCTTCCTAGATGGTAGGAAAGCAAGCACTGAATATGGAAATAAAGAGTGAAGGGGAAAGAGAGACTATCCTGTGCTGCCCTGGACCTGAAAGGCAGGCACAAAGGAAGAAATGCTGCAGGGGTGCTCATGTGCCACTGCAGCTCCCTAGGCAGGCTGCTGAGTTACCCTGCTCCCGGCTGGGCTCTGCCTGGGGGGGGGGTTGAGCCATCTGATGATCTAAAAATCCAACAGCAATAAAGCATGCCTTCCAGCTCTAACACTTGGCATTTCATGGTGATAAGAATTACTTAAAATAACTCTAAATAAAAATTAATTGCAAAACCAAAAATCACCTTCAAGCTGCAGATTTGCAGAGGCCAAAACAGCCAGTGTTAGGGGTGGGGGGCAGAGAAGGAAGGTACAGCAAAAGCATCGATTCTGTAACTCTGCAGAGGGTGGAGAACAAACCATTCTGGAGCCACAGACTTCTGTCCTTCCTAAGCTGGTGCTGAGACCAAGCACCTGCCCAGAGCAGCAGAGCTCTGTGCCAGTGCTCCATCCTGTGTCCCCACAGCTCACCTGGAGCAGCTGCATTGTTGCTCAGTAATTCACCCAGGTCAGTCAGGAGAGGACGAAGCTGCGCCTCTGCACTGCTGCCTGCACAGCTGGTCTGGCTTTGCCGGGCACACAGCTCATGCTCTCCACAGAGGCTGGCCCCGTGCTCTGCTAGATTAAGAATGGGAAGGAAGGTGGCACAAAAGGCCCTTTCAGTGTCCCACCCTCTGCCAATGAGCAGTGCACAGGCAGCTGGTGGGGAGCATGGCCAGGACAGGTGACTCTTCCATACCAATTCCATGGAGTGCCATGGCCAGTATGGGCAACTCACCTGGAAGGGGCTGATTGCTGTTCAGGGACAGGCTGGGCATTGGTCAGCACATGCTGGGGAATTGTGCTGGGCATCACTTCTTTCTCTCTGGTCTCAGTCCTTTCTCTCTCTCTCTTTCAGCATCAATATTAGTACTACTACTATTATATTTTAAAGTATTAAACTTTTTATGACAACCCATTAGATTTCCTTTTTTCCAGTTCCAGAAGTAGGTGACCGAGCAGCTGCATTGTACTCAGTTGCCACCTGGGGTTAAACCAGGACAACAG